AAAAATGTAGTGGAGGTTTGCCCACATGCCTGGAAGTAGAATTTATGGAGTTGTCCAGCAGGTGCCACCCCATAGAGACTACTGGGCTCCCAAGAATCACCTCTAGTTGTGACTAGAGGGAAGGAGCACATCCTATCTCTTATATCCATACCCACATCTAGAAAGGCCTCAGAGCAGCCAGCCAGATATATGAGACTAGTCATCCAGAGATCGGGTTTGTTCTGGAGTGGGACTGAGTCTTGATGCAAATCAAAGTTTCTCCGGAGTGTTTGTGACCTGGGTTGAGATTAGGGCTTTCTTCCCACAACATCAGAGAAAAAGAAAACAGGCAATAATTGCAAACACTCATAGAGCCATTCAGTTGTACCAGCCACTGATCCACTGTTTCATACATCTTAATCCATTTACTCCTTTCAGTCAGTGCTGTTGTTATACCCATTTTACAGGTGAGGGAAGTGAGGCACAAACAAAACACAACAAAAACCAGGCCCAGGACAGGTGGGGCCAGCACACTTTGCAGTTTTTGAACAGATGGTACAGACAGACCCCCCACAGCAAAGTGCAAGGAACCAAAGGGAACTGACTTTGAACACCGATTTGCAAGATAACTAAATGTTCCAAACCAGCATGAAAGAGTCGACAAGAGATGAAGCTGCATGTTTTTTCATTTTCTGCCAGGGGAAACGGCAAAGATGGCTGCAGAAAGTCTCAGTTACCAGTTATTCTCTCCATGGTTTACAATTATTTTTTATGAGTCTGTGTGTGTAGGTCTGTATATAAAAATCTGTACTTTCTTTTTTTTTTTTTTTGAGACGGAGTCTTGCTCTGTCACCCAGGCTGGAGTGCAGTGGCCGGATCTCAGCTCACTGCAAGCTCCGCCTCCCGGGTTTACGCCGTTCTCCTGCCTCAGCCTCCCGAGTAGCTGGGACTACAGGCGCCCGCCACCTCGCCCGGCTAGTTTTTTTGTATTTTTTAGTAGAGACGGGGTTTCACCGTGTTAGCCGGGATCGTCTCTCGATCTCCTGGCCTCGTGATCCGCCCGTCTCGGCCTCCCAAAGTGCTGGGATTACAGGCTTGAGCCACCGCACCCGGCCAAAAATCTGTACTTTCTAAGCTTATATGGTCAGCTTACTAATGGGCCTTGGAGTCTCTAGTGGGCCCTCTGCTCTCTGTCATCCGTCACCCTGTGCAACAGCTTGGCTCTTTCCTGCACTCTGTACTCTCTCGTTCTTGCTCTTTCTCTGGCTCTCTTTCATGCCATAGAGGCTGAGGAAGGCTCCGCACCTCTCCTGGCAAGGGCTGCGGCCTGAAGCCAGCATTCATTTCATGTTGGAATGCAAGGGCAGCAGGAGAAACAGCACACAGGTCTCTGAGTATGGAGCACAGGGCTGGGCTCTCCCCAGGCAAGAACAGCCCAGGGAAGGTGGCTGGGAAGGAATGAGATTTTCTAGGGGCAGAAGTTCTGCTAGAAGGAAGCCCAGCACCCAATGTCAGCAGGTAATGTAGGTGGCAGCCCTGAGCTGCCTCCTCTTGGCTTATGCCCCCTTCCCTCCCTGCCCTGGGCACTGCCTGAACCTTTGGACAGACAAGAGTGCAGGCTGCTCAGAAGTGAGAGAAAGCAGGTGTGAGTAAGTGGCATCTTGTGATTGTGACAGGTGTCACCTGTAGTTCTCCAGGGGAAATACCTTCCTCGTCACATTCATCTAGATTCAAATCCTGCCAGATTTTCTAGCTGTGTGACCTTGGGCTCATTTCTCCCTGTCTCTGAGCCTTATTTCCTACAATATGGGCTTGGTAGTCACTGAGAGTTCAATAAAAGGTTAACTGAAGGCACTGCCAAGAAGCACAAATAATCTAGAAACATCATTTTTTTTTTCAGGGACTGTCTTTTTAATGTCGCATCACTGTTTAATTGCAAGGTACAACTCTCTTACTCAGTCCAGGAAATTATATCATAAAACCATTACTGGGTATTTGATTTTCTGTTTCTAAGATGAAAATGGATGATACGGAATTGGGTTTCAAGAATTTTGCACACCCTTGAGATAAGAGTGGCATCCTGAGGGAGAGAGGATCCAGTTGAGATTTGGCAACTTCGGCTCCACTGATTCTGAGTGTCAGCTTTGCTCTCAGTTTAGGAATTTTTGTTTTTCATTGAGATATCAGCTAACAGCAACAGATGATCTCTCAAAGCCTGGTGAGGGGCATGGGCTGTTCCAGTTCATGGCCAGCCTGGGTTTCACTGGGGTCTGTCTGATAGTGAGCAAGTTTGTGTCCTGGGTTCATGTTAATGACAAGAGTTTGACTAAAGACAAGCACGGAGGGGTAGTGGTAAGGGTGGAGGTGGTGTTCAGGCCTGGGCAAGGGACTAGAGAAGCTGACATCCTGGGGTGAGGACAGGTCAGCCCAGCAGTCCTCAGAGGACAGGAGGCCAGGCTTCAGAAGGGTGGCAGGGGCTTCCCCCTGCGTATTTATTCATCCAGACATTGTTCTAGGGACTGGTGGCACAGCAGCGAACAAAACAGGAAAAAAAATCCCTGCGTTTATACAGTTTAGATTCTACCAGGGGTCAGGGAGGGAGACACAATAAATCACATAAATAAATAAAAGAAATAGTATGTGAATTGATGATAAGTGATGTCTTAGTCCATTTGTGTTGCTATCAAGTAATATCTGAGGCTGGGTAATTTATCCAGAAAAGAGGTTTATTTGGCTCACAGTTCTGCAGATTGTACAAGAAGCATGGCGCCAGCATCTGCCTCTAGTGAGGGTCTCAGGCTGCTTCCACTCCTGGCAGCAAGTAGAGCCTGCATGTGCAGAGATCACATGATGAGAGAGGAAGTGACCATGAGCGAGGGGGAGGTGCCAGGCTCTTTCTAACAGTCAGGTCTTTAGGGAATTGATAGAGTGAGAACTCATGCACCCTACAAGAACAGCACTAAGCCATCCATGAGGGATTCACCCCCATGACCCAAGCACCTCCCACCAGGCCCCACCTCCAACAGTGAGGAGCAAATTTCAACATGAGATTTGGAGGGGTCAAATATTCCAACTATAGTAAATGGCAAAAAGAAGGGAAGAGGGAGAGAGTGTTGAGGTTTTTATTTTGTTTGGATGTGCTTTTGTTGTTCTTATTTTCATTTGCTTTTGTTGTTCTTGTTGTTTTTATTTGCTTTGTTATTAGATTTCGTGGTGGTTGTTTTATTTTTTCAAAAAAACCAATTTTAGAAAAGATGATATGTGAGTAGAAAGCTAAAGTAAAGAAAGCAAATGAGACTCCTGGGGGGAAGTGCATTCCAGGCAGAGGAACGGGCAAGACCAAAGGCTCTGAGGCAGAAACGTGTGGGGAACTGGACCTGACCCTCTCTGTTCCTGTGAAGCTATCACTCGGGTCCCAGCCCTTGTGGTCACTCCTAGCATTTTATGCCTAGACTCTTTCTGGTTGTAGGAAACTGATCCAGGCAGAACCTTCCAGACTGAGGGCCTGGAAGAGATTTGTAGGGACAGGCTCCAGGAGAGGTCTCTGCAGTTCAGCTGTGTAAATCAGGGTTTTGTCAAGCTTGTTGCAAATGCACATTCCTGGATTATGTCCCAGGCCTGCTAAATCAGAATCTCTGGGGTCTGTGCCCAGAAGTCCACATTTCTAAAAGCCTCCAGGCACGTTTGAGCATCTTCACCATATATTCCACCCCAAATCGATGTCCATGATTTCTCTCAGATCCTCTTCCTATTGACTAGGTGTATTAGTCTGTTCTCACACTGCTATAAAGTAATTCCCTGAGAGTGAATAATTTACAAAGAAAAGAAGTTTAATTGACTCACAGTTCTGCACTGCTAGGGAGGCCTCAGGAAACTTACAGTTATGGCGGAAGGCCAAGGGGAAGCAAGGAAGCTAGCATGTTGTAACACGGTGTAGCAGGAAAGAGAAAGAGAGAGAGAAAAAACGGGGAAGTGCCACACTTTTAAACCATCAGATCTCGTGAGCACTCACTCGCTATCACGAGAAAAGCAAGCAGGAAGTCTGCCCCCATGATTCAGTCACCTCCCACCAGGCCCCTCTTCCAACACGTGGGGATTTTCATTCGAGACGAGATCTGGATGGGGACACAGAGCCAAACCGAATCACCAGGGTAGAGTGTGCCATAGTTCAACTCTCTTAAAAAATGTTTAGAGTTTTTCTTGAGGTACCTGGTCAGCCATTTCCTGCCACTGAAAGGAATCACTCTCTAGGTAAAGTCAGCAAGGTTGTTCTGCCCCCAAGCAGAAGTGGGAGGTGGTGGGAGATAGGATTTGCACATCTCAACACACTCCATCCCCCGAGTCCTATGCCGACTGACAAGGGGCTTCTTAAGGACAGTAACTATTCCACGTGTATTCTGGGACCAGCGTGTGACACTCATAGGCCTCAGAAGATGTTTGCAGAGATAGAGAAAGGGCAAAAGAATGAATAAATGTCACTCTTAACAGGGAGAAGCAGGAGCAGCAGGATTGTGAGTTTGGAAATTCTTTTCCCCAGCACATGGAAGAAATCCTCGTTCTTTCAAAATTGTTCACTCCACCCCATCCCTTTCCCAATCCCCACCCCACTCCCAGAGGTCCCCTCTTCTTACTCTTTCTATTTTCTGGTCTGTAAAGGAAAGGACTAGAGATGTGGGTAGGGCAGGGGCATACTAACCTCCAAGGGTCTCATGAGTTCAGCTCCATCAATCTCCTACCTCTCCCTATCGCCCCCCACCCTCCCTCAACGCATCCAGCTTAGAGCGAGGGGTAATGGAAAGGATTCTTGAATCAAATCTCCTTTGTGCTCCTTCCTCTCTGTAAAACCTTGGGCCACTTATGTGACCTATGAGCCTCCGCTTTCCCATCTGTGAAATGGGGCAGGCTCGTGGGGCCTGGAGCACTCAGCAGGCGGTAACCCGGTGGGCGTTCCCTGCGCAGGCCACGCCCCCACCTGTTAGGCCGGGCCCCGCGGCGCCCGGCGGTGTTGCCATGGCAACGCGCGTACACAGGCCGGGCGGGCGCGCTGGGCGCCGGGTGTCGGCTGGAGACTCCGCGGGAGCGCGGCCGGGAGGCCTCGCCCGGGAGCGGGCCCGACGCCTCCCAAGCTGGCAGGGCTCTGGGCGGAGGTCGGAGAGTGGGCTTCCTCCTCCCGCCAGGTAAGTGCGGTGCGGGAAGGGGCGGCGGGCCGAGACCGGGGACCGGAAGGGGCGGCCCCGCGAGGACTAGCGCTGGGAGGAGGAGGGGTGGCTCCCCGTCCCCATCCTCCCGGATCTAGGCTCCGGTCCCCAGGAGCACCCCAGTAGGTGCCCCAACACCAACCCCTCCTTTCCAGGTGCAGCCCCAACCCCGCCCGCGGAGAAAGCCCCCAGGGGCCTTAGACCCCTCCTTGGCACCAGCCATGCCACTCTGGGAAGTCCTGGCGGGTACAGCTGGGATTAGGAGGGGCATACCCGCTGCCCCTGACTTACGAATGACACCCACCCAGCGGTCAGAGAGACTTCCCCCTTGCCTAACCTCTCCCTTTCCAAATACAACACTGAGAAATTTCTAGGGCTCCCAGGCCACTTAAGATCTGGTAACCCCTCAATAGAAATTTTGCTTCTCTGTCTCACTTTTGACCCCTAAGCAGGGAGTGCAGATGAGTGAAGCTCTTTTGCTCTTTTCCATGGTCGGTGCCCTGTGTCATAGAACTAATTTACAGAGTTTAACGCATCTAATCACTTTCTACAGTGTTTTCAGGTAGGAAAGTGACTGCACAGGGCAAGATCAAAGTGGGGAAATATGGCCCAACCCATTCAGTTAAAGAAATAGACTTTTTTTTTCCCAAAATGTCATCTAGGATAAATACTGAAGGGGAAAATAAAAGGTAGTTACTGTCAGAGGTTCTTAGGCTACTCTGACTTACTTTTAAGCATTATTTCGTATTTTCATTCATTCATGATTTACTGAGTACCACTATGTGTCAGGCCTGGCAGCTCTGGGGGCCAGAGTTGGAGTAATGAACAGAACTGTGAGGAACCACAAAGGGTCTGAGATTTTTACACTACCTGCAAGCTAAGTTAGCCTGCCACTGCTTAATGATGCTAGCAGAAGACCAGAGACTCCAGGACCAGAGACAAAGGATGTTATTACTCACATCACAGCAGGCACTGTGAGCTTCATGTTTGCATTGGTTCCCCTTGCCCTGCAAGTTCCCCGGGGTGATACAGGACAGCCCAGGTGGATGCTGTACACACTGCGAGTCTGTGTCCCAGCTAAGGAACCCCAAGCTCAGGAAACTCCAGTCTTTTAAAAGGGACTGCTAGCCAGTGCCCAACCTTTGCCCTGGAAGGAGATGACATTTTTTTTTTTTTAATTGAGATGGAGTCTTGCTCTGTCGCCCAAGCTAGAGTACAGTGGCACAGTCTCAGCTCACTGCAACCTCTGCTGCCTGGGTTCGAGTGATTGTCCTGCCGCAGACTTCCAAGTAGGTGGAACTACAGGTGCATGCCACCATGCCTGGCTAATTTTTTTGCATTTTTAGTAGAGACAGGGTTTCACCATGTTGGCCAGGCTGGTCTCAAACTCCTGACCTCAGGTGATCCGTCCTCCTGGGCCTCCCAAAGTGCTGGGATTACAGTCGTGAACCACCGTGCCTGGCCGGAGATGACATTTTTATCATAAAAAGTCTGCACTCTGCCCTGGTTGGGGACACTATCCCTATCCTCTCAGGATATTTGCCCTGCAGATGTCCTTGGAAAGATTGTCAGGAACAAAATCTGTCAGTATCTTTGCTCTGAAGATGGGTACAAACACAGGAAACCCGTGGGTAATTGAGTTTAAAACAACACAGTTCAGGCTCTCTTGGGACATATCTCAGTGAAAGGGAAACAGTAAACATGTAGCTAAGAACAAAAAAATGACAGAGAATGATAAGCTCAAGGAAGGAGCCACAGCGTGACACGTGCTAGCTAGACAACGAAGTGACTGATGACGCCTTTAGCTGGGGTGGTCAGGTAGCTACCACAAGGCACCAACTGTGGAAACATCTGGGGGAAAAGCTAAAAAAAAAAAGCCAGTCATTCAGATTTGGGGTTTTACTCTGGAGGCATTTCCTGTGGCTTTCCCACAAAAGAGACATTTCTCGAAAGTTGACTTTAGATTAGTTTTACTTTAGTTTTGAATGTGGTGCTTGATAATGTAGTCCTCTATGATTGAAGATTAATAACTCAGGCAATTTGAGGGCAACAGGGCATGGTTCTTTTGGAAAAAGAAATGTCTTTTTATCCCTATTAAAGACAGCAGACTTAAAAATAAAATTCTCATTATATGAAAGTATTAATATTTCTGAGGATTTCTCATAGGCTTCAGAATTTACAAACTATCTGGTTTGTTTTATTTCTCTTACCCCCAAGGGTCTTTTCTTTTTTGCAGAGGATAGAATTCTGGTGTTAAGGGCTATCTGTTATTTCATGTCCCAAGTGTCAACAAAACAGTGACAACCTCAGTGTCCCAAGTGACACCTCTCCCTCCCCCTACTCAGTCACTCTCCCTGCTCCTCCATCCCATCCCCTCCCCCCACAGCAGCGATGGAGGTGTGAAAAGTTGAGCTGCCTGAGGATTATATAGTGGTGACATGCAATGGCTGTCTCCCTGCCCGAATGCTAGGGTCCCTTAACCTCTCTGCATCTCAGTCTCCTTGTCTGTAAAGTAGGGACAATAATGACACCTACCTTGCAGGGTTTCTCTGAGGATGAAAAGAGTATATTCAAGGAAAAGTGCCTGGCACTTATTAAGGACTCCATAAATGATGACAGAGATGATGATGAAAAGCAGAGCCAGCCCTGAGAGTCCGTACCACCACAACTAGTTGAGTTTTGTTTTTATCCATAGTCCAATAATTTGGCATTTCACTAACTTTTCTATTGAAAGGAAAGGAGAGAGACTGTTGTTCTTTGACAAGGCATTGAGGTGGAGGGTATCACCCTGCATCTTTTTTTTTTTTTCACCCTGCGTCTTTAGACATAATCTCAAATGAGATTCAAGGATCGAGATGAATTACTGTCAACATTTTAGAACTTTCTGAAGTCACCGAAGTGTTTATCTTAAAAGATGTGTATAGAACTTATTTCAAAATGCGCCACAATATAAAATGGATGGACACACGGATAGATGGAAAGATATGTGATAAAGCACATATGGCAAAATGCCGATGGTAGAATCTAGTGGTGGGTACATAGGAGCTCACTATCTGCTTTTTTCAGCCTCTCTGTATGGTTGACATTTTTATAGTAAAATGCTGGGGGGAATACTGTGCAGGGTCCTGATTACATGGCTGAGCTATAAGCTTGATATTTTGCCTTTAGAAGTAATCTTTTTTCCCCTAAGTAAATAATGAAGAAATGCAGCGATTTAAAAAGGAAAACATCATCTAATGCCTGCCTCTCCGATGATAACTCTTTAAGAAACTCTAAAAGCAGACATGGTGGCGTGCCTGTGTTCCTAGCTACTCTGGAGGCTGAGGCAGGAGGATCATTTGAGCCCGAGAGTTCAAGGCTGCAGTGAGCTGTGATTGTGCTACCGCACTCAGCCTGGCCAAAGAGCAGGACTTCATCTCTAAATATGAATGAACGGATCAAATAAGCTCTATAGAAGTTTAGCGTTCCTTGGATCAGAGTTTGAGGAGCCCAGGTTGACAACACTAATAAGAGTAGTACAAATGAGTGTTCGGTGTGTGCCAGGCACCATTCTAGATACCACACGTGTATTAGCTCATTGAATCCTCACAAAACCCATTTTAGGATGGGTGTGGTGGCTCACGTCTGTAATCCCAGCACTTTGGGAGGCCAAGGTGGGAGGATTGCTTGAGCTCAAGAGTTTGAGACTAGCCTGGGCAACCTGGCAATACGCCGTCTCTACAAAAAATTAGCCAGGTGTGGTGGTGCACACCTGTCATCCCAGCTACTTGAGAGGCTGAGGCAGGAGGATTGCTTGAGGCCAGGAGATCGAGACTTTGATGAGCCAAGATTGCTCACTGCCCTGCAGCCAGGATGACAAAGTGAGCCCCTGTCTCAGAAAAACAAACAAACAAACAAAAAACCCACCCATTTTATAGATGAGGAAACTGAGTCACAGAGAATAAGTAACTCACCCAAGGTCACAGAGCTAGTAAGGGTTGGATTAGGAACACAGAACCTGAATACTTGGTATGTCAGATCACTAAGCTCATACTAAGCTTGATGGGAGGTAGAGAGCAATCATCAGTGGAACTCAGATTTGTTGTCAGGTTGTTTTAGCTTTTGTTTGCTTGTGTCCTGAGTTACTTAAGAAATGCCCTCTGTTTGATTATTAGAACCAGGCTTTTCTTTTTTTTTTTTTTTTGAGACGGAGTCTTGCTGTGTCGCCCAGGCTAGAGTGCAGTGGCCGGATCTCAGCTCACTGCAAGCTCTGCCTCCCGGGTTTACACCATTCTCCTGCCTCAGCCTCCCGAGTAGCTGGGACTACAGGCGCCCGCCACCTCGCCCAGCTAGTTTTTTGTACTTTTTAGTAGAGACAGGGTTTCACCGTGTTAGCCAGGATGGTCTCGATCTCCTGACCTCGTGATCCGCCCATCTCGGCCTCCCAAAGTGCTGGGATTACAGGCTTGAGCCACCGCGCCCGGCCTCATTCTAATTATGATGTTGAATAATTAGAGGACTGCATTTTCTAACAAAATTCTTTCTGAAAACCTTATGTAGGGAAAACAGAGAGGATGAAAGCCTATCTAAAGAGCGCAGAAGGCTTTTTTGTCCTAAATAAAAGTACCACAATTGGAAGGCATGAAGATTCAGACCTTGTTTTACAGGTAAGAAGTCTTCCCACCTGTTCCTGTCCCCTCCCTGACCCCTTCCTTCCCCCTTCAACAGTCCTTAGTGTTATGTGGCCTCCAGTCTCTTGTACACCACAACCTTGGGCAAGCAGCCATACCTTTCCTTGCTGTGCTACCAATAGCCAGTTGCCACGGGTATCCCATTTCGCTGGCATAAGGAGTGAAGCTGAGTGCTGTGCAGAGCGGGATGTGCCCCATCCTTTGCTGAGCACATCTGTCGCTGTCCCACCCGATGCAGAGCAGATGAGCCCAAAGTAGGGCTTATCCCGAGAGGAATCTTGGCTTTGCGCAGGAAAGAATTCAAGGGCAAGCCAGGAGTAGAAGGAAACAGACTTATGGAAGCAGCAGTGTTACAGCTGTGTGGCTGCTCCTACAGAGCCGGGCTGCCCTGTGGACAGAGAGCAGCAGCTCAGGGCAGTTTTGCAGTCATATTTATACTCACTTTTAACTGCATGCAGATTAAGGGCCGGTTTATGCAGGGAAGGGATAATAACTTTGGGATCATTGGATGCCATGGAAAGGGGAGATAACTCTTGGGTGTTGCCATGGCAACAGTACATTGACATGGCACTTTGGTGGGCAGGTCTGACTGAAAGTTGCTTTCACCTTGGCCCTGTTTTAGCTAGTCCTCAATCTGGTCCAGTGTCTGAGCCCCACCTCTGGAGTCCAGTGCCACCTCCTACCTCACACCTGTGGTCATGTCCCCAGCAGCCTGATGTGTGTTTCAGAAGGTGCTTTGGCCTTTGCCTGCTCTGGGCTAGGCCTCTCTCCCTTTCAAGACCCCGTGTGGGACTGCTGTGGGCCTCTCAGAGGCCAGGAAGGCCATGGAGCTCCAAGCCCCAGGCTTAGCCTGGGCATTCTTTCATTTCATTCTCTGAATTAGCTGTGGTTTGGTCCAAAGCCTCAGCTAACTGCAACCAAGGAAGTTGAAAGAAGGAGAATAATAATAAAAACAGTGGCTTTGAGCCTGTTTAAATATGGAAGGGGGTTAAAATATTGAAGTGGAAAGAGAAATGCCGTGGAATCTCTTTGTAACTGTGAAAAGCAGATGTCTTTCAGACCTCACTATTTTTTAACCCTTCATTTTGAAATTAGAGATTCACAAGAAGTTCCAAAAATAGTAGGTAGAGATCACACCTACCTTTCACCCAGTTTCCTCCAATGGCTACATACTATGTGTGACTATAACAATATCAAAACCAGGAAATTGACGTAAATGCTCTGTGTGTGTGTGTGTGTATGTGTGTGTATGTGTGTCGGAGAGAGAGAGAGAGAAGGACAATGTATGTAGTTTTGTATCATTTTATAGATCACATGTGTATTAATAGATTTGTGTATAGCAATCAAAAAATTGTCTTACCTCTTTTGCTTCCTTTTCCTTTCCATATAAATTTTAGAATAAGTCTGTATCTATGAAATGTCCTGCTGAGATTTTGATAGAAATTGTGTTTAAATCTATACATCGATGTGGAAAGAATTTATATATTTACTATGTGGTTTTTCAATCCATGAACATGGTATGTTTCTGCATTGATTTAGGTCTTCTTTGATTTCTTTCATGAATACTTTGTAGCTTTCAGCATACAAATCCTGTACATGTTTTGCTGGATTTATACTTAAGTACTTAATTTCTCCTTTTTTGTTTGTGATGGTAAATGGTATTATACTTTAAATTTCAGTGGCCACCTATTCATTGCCAGTGTATAGAAACATAATTGATTTTTGTATGCTTATATGGTATCTTGCAACCTTAACTGAACTTTCTGGAAGTTTTTTGTTGCCTGCTTAGGATGTTACCATGTCATCTGCAAATTAAAACAGTTTTATTTTTACCTTTTTGATCTGTACACTTTTAATTTTATTTTCTTGAGATATTGCATTGGCTGAGACTTCCAGTACTCTGTTGCATAAGAGTGGTGAGAGCAGTATAAATCTTTATATTTGCCTTGTTCCTGATTTTAAGGGAAAAGCATTCAGTCTTTCATCATTAAATATTATATTAGCTGTAGGGTTTTTTTTTTTAATAGGTGTTCTTTATCAAAGGGAGAACATTCCCCCTGCATTTCTAGTTTTCTAAGAGTTATAAACGCAATCGATTTTAAAATAACTCAACATACCTTCCCTTGAGATTCTCATCTGTGACATGGTCTCTCTACAAGGACACAGAAAACTGTTCAGTGTACAAAGTGGAAAAATCAAATAAAAAGAATTGTAGTTTCTTTTGTATCGTAACAAGGGATAAATTTAAGGTAGTTTTATTTTCTGGGTGGCCAAGGAAGAGACAGTGATCCCTGTTTTGAACTGGACTATGATATTAGAAAACTGTAGTAATTTTTAAAAGCACAGGCTTTGGAGGTAGACCTGGATTTGAATCTCTTAGACTGTTTTCTGGCTGTGTGACTTCAAGCAAACTACTTAATCATGCTGAGCTCATTTTCTCCATCTATAAACCACTTATTTCACAGGGCTGTAGGGATTAAATGAGAAAATGCATATAAAGTACCTGGCATATGGTACGAAGTAGATGACACCACAATCATTATTATGGTCGTGTAAAGTGGAGACAGAGAATTTTTGTTCACGGGGTTAAGGCGGGTTATCCACTGATACTAACAAGCTATTTGGAAATGGGAACTGATGAGGACAATTATTATATATATAGACACAAATTGAGTAGCATTGATTGTATAAAAATAATTGACTGCTTACTGCTCCTTGGCCTTAGTTTAAAAAGTAAGTCACCACTGTCAGCAACAGTTCCATTGATTTATGAAGGAATCAGTTGCATTTCCAGAAGCATGAGCTTGCACTGACTCCCGAGAGAACAGATGATACATGAGTTGCCAAATGCTTTGTGAATAGACTTTTAATGGGCTTTTATATCTTCTCTTAGACAAATCCTCTTCCAAAAGCTTAAATCGATTTGGGAGAGGAGATTTGCTTTAAGAAGGGATGTGGGGGACACAGGTCTGTTTTGAAGAACTGAAACCTACAGGTGTGTCCATATTTTTCAGAAAATATTTTATAAGACAAGGTGAAAATTGCCCCTCTTCTGCCTTCACTGGGCCTTTCTGATTAACCCAAGAATCATGGTTGATCAGCTATAAGCCACCCTGAGTAATAATTCAACAGTCAATTTATCATTTGTCTTATTTGTGCTGTTAGAAGTCATTCCACTAACTAAAGTTCAGGAATCTTAAAAAAAAAAAAAATCAGCTGTGAAATTACCCAGCATTTACACCTAACAAAGAGAGAAGATCGTTTTATTTACTTGGATAAATCCTAAAGAATAGGGAGCTATGCTTCTAAAGATTTATTAATGTATTCATTTGCAAAGCTGACTTTTTTTTTGCTTATTGATATCATAATCTGACATTGTTCACATATTCTGATAATGGAAGGTAATTATGTACCTATTGTTTTTTAAAAATTTGGGAGAAAGCAAACTGTAAAGAAGAAAATAAAAATCACTTGTAATCATATGACTCAGGGACAGTCAACATTGATATTTGTAGAGTTTTGCCCTCCAGACTTTTTTTTTCTGTATCATGAAAGGAGTTTGGTTTCCTAATGGCTATAGGAAGCCTGTTTTAGCCAGCCTGGTTTTTGCCGTTATCATCACTCATTCATTCCACAGACTTTGCCTGGAGCCCCAGCACAGAGGTAAGCCTGGGGATACTCACATGGTCCTGCAATCAGGAAGCTGCTAGGAGAGACACACAGGTCAGAGGATCTGCAGAGCCTGGATGGTTTCAAGCTTATGTCAGGGCTCTAAAGGAAAGGAATATGGAGCATGAGAAGGCCTTAACTAGACAAAGGGAGAGGGAACAGTGTGTGCAAAGGCCCTGGGGTGGGAGAGCATATGGCGAGCCTGATGAACTGAAAGAAAACCAGTATGTGGAGGTCAGAGTGGGAAGGGGGAGAGCTAAAGGCAGGCAGGACTCCTTCCTGCCACCGTAAGAATGTTGGTCTTTATCTGAAAAACAATGGGAAGATGCCACTGACGAATTTTCAGCAAGTGGAAGACCTGCCTATTGAAATGGGCTCCCTGGCTGCCTTGTGCAGAAATCAGGAGCTCCTTTCAGAGTCTACCCCCACCCCTGCCTGCATTGGACAGTGCTGGAATACCTCGGCCACCAGCCTTGCTCATTTCAGAGCTAAACCTTCTGGTTATAATCTGTATAATTTGATGTGGTTTTTTAACTGAATGTTTATAGTTGGATGTGGCTGTTACTTGAACACTGATAAGAAAGGGACTTAATTCTTCCAGAATGCAGCAATGTCACAAGCCAATGGTTGCTGGGTTTTTCATGTGCATGAGTGTGATTGTTAAACATGAATCCCAAGGCTTTCTGACGCAGTGGGGTTAGGCGAGGTCGGGAATCTGTCCATTTCTCTGCTCTGCAGGTTCTGGTGAGGGTCCCCACGGAGATGCTTCCAGGACCGAACCTTGAGAGCCCTGCCTTAATGCTGCCCTCCCTCTCACTGCTCCATCTCCAGGGACTCCAGCTTCTCCTCTTCTGATGCCAGGGGAGCTCCTGTTCACTCTTTGTGTGTGTGTGTGTGTGTGTGTGTGTGTGTGTGTGTGTGTACTATTTCAATATACTTTGTTTTGAGGAAAAGAGAAGCAAAGGTTAAAGAATGGAAAGCTGGCTAGGCACGGTGGCTCAGGCCTATAATTCCAGCACTTCGGGAGGCTGAGGCGGGCAGATCACTTGAGGTCAGGAGTTCGAGACCAGCCTGGCCATCATGGTGAAACCCCACCTCTACTAAAAATACAAAAATTAGCCGTGTGTGGTGGTACACGCCTATAATCCCAGCTACTTGGGAGGCTGAGGCAGGAGAATTGCTTGAACCTGGGAGATTGCAGTGAGCTGAGATTGTGCCACTACACTCCAGCCTGGGCGACAGAGTGAGACTGTGTCTCAAAAAAAAAGAAGAAGAGTGGAGAGCTGATCTTCTCCTTAGGACCTCGC